GCTTAGAAAAGCAGCTTTAGGAAAAAGAAACTTTTTTCTGCTCTAGCATCTATTAAGATTAAAATGGATTTACATGAAAGATTATTTTGTCGTTAATAATGGTCAATGCATTAAAAGGTAACTGATCTTTTATCATCAACACATTTTTTAGTCATTTTCATGTTTATGTTGGTTGCCATTTGAAGAAGCGAGCTTGACTGCCTTGAGCAGTTCAACAACACCAACAGCAAAAGCAAAAAAACATTCATTTTGACATTTACAATAACATCAATAATGAACAAACAGTTGAACAACATTTGAGTCCATGAAGATCATTAGAACCAAAATGAGCACCTTAACTGTCGTTGATTAAAAACAGTAAAAAGCTGAAAAGGTAACCAAATAAAGAATCAATTGAAAGTTCAAGTTTCAATAAGAAAGAGAAACATTTGAATTTACAATTGCATGAGCAGCAAAAGAGTATTGAAAGAGGCAAAAGAAAAGAAGAAGAGAAAACTGATGAAAATGTTTTGTTGAACTTGAAAAGTTGAAAGAAAAACAAGTTGAATCGATGAAAAGAAACTGGGTTATGATTGATTTTACACTTGATAATCATTGTTATTATTTTCACCATCATAATCACTATTTATGCTTCCATCGAGAAACCAGTTCTGTTGAGAAGATGAACACTTTCATTCAGATTCAACTAAATTTGCTTTTCTTCTCATTATGTAGCAGAAGAAGAAGAAGAAGAAAAAAACAGAAGAAAAATGGTTCTCCAAATGCTCCTACTTTTTTGCTCTCTTCTTGTTCATCTTCATCCTCTCTTGATCCCTTCTCATCCGCCTCCTTCTCCCTCTCCTCCTCAACTGCAACACTTGCAACTCTACTACTGACTGACTTGGCTCACTCTCACTCTCATTTCCCTTCACCTTACAAAAAGGTTGGTATAAAAAGCAAGTTACAACAGGAAAATGTATCACGCTAATCAAGATACTGTAAATTACTCCACAGGGGTGAATATAAAAGAGACTGTTAAAATGTTGCTTCATTGGCTTTCAAAATCATTTGGATGGGGATCAGTTGAACAGAGTAAAAAGCCATTCCAGAAACGTTTCTACTTTTTTCTTGCCATCTTTCTTCTTCTTCTCCTGTTTGTTTGTTTATTTGTGTGTTCATGTTTAATGTGATAAGTTTTGTTGCTCTCTGTGTGAAATGGCAAAGTTTTTGGTGAAGCAACAGCGATTCATGAAGTAAAGAGAGGAACAAAACAGCGCATAAAAACTTGCAATTGATTCTTTCAATGTTTCTCTACGAAACTTTTCTCAAAAGTGTTTCACCGCAAAAAAACGATAACCATTATCACAGGCTGGTCAAAGAGTCAAAACACAGATATTGAATATTAATAAATGGACATTTCAAATGTCAATAATCGGTTGCATTTGCTATTTTTTATTCTCTCCATTTTCTGCCCAAAAACGAAGAGCATCATGTAACCACATAGGCTTTTCTGGTCTCTTTCATACTGATTGCCCATTGAAATTCATAGTTTCTTGGTTCAATAGAAAAGTTCATAACAGTGAGTGAACCAAATAACCTTTAGATAATCTTAATTAGCTTGTATGTTGATCGATAAATGAAATATGGACTGAAGGCTTGTTCTTAGCTAAAATTTTCATCCGAAAACCACAGAATTACAAAATTTAAACTTTTGAAATTTTTATAATTTGATTTGAAATCCTTCGGAAAACCAAATATTTCAATGAGCTTGAATGTCGATAAATCTCTGGCTAGAAAATTTTTTACTTATTGAATATATTTGGTAAATGTGGCCGATTCAGGATTGCCGGTCAGTTGGTTAGTTGGGTTAGGTTGGTAATCAGATGTTAGAATAAAATCAACTTCTGTTGTTCATCATTATTACAAGTCAATTAGCTGTTGATGCAAAATAACTCGATGATCAGCATCAACTTTAGTTAAAACTTAATCTCTCAGCTAACCCGGATCGACTCAAGTTATTAGTACTAATTTGACTGCAATAAATAACTGAAAAACGAGCATCTTTAGCCTCTTTGTTAATAAATTAATTTCAATCTGTTTCTCATCTACATTGACTTCCACTGTGATTTTTATGTTTATCTTTTTCTCCCGTTTCTTTTGACAAATCTACTCATTGACTGAGACCGGAAATTATCAGATAACCAAGACTAAAGATTTAATTTGATTGTCGATTTCAACCTCGCTTCAGTTCGTTTCTTCATTTTTTCCTCCTCTTTTTTTCTATTCTTTCTTCTTCTTTTCTCTTTGTATTTCGTATCCAATTACTTTTCCAATTTTACCTGAAAAGAAAAGTTCAATCTAATTAAGGTTTACATTTGCCTACCTTAACAGCCTACCTTGACAGGGCTTTAGATGAAAAGCAGAATTTATTAAGAAAACAAAAATTTCCAAAAAAATGCAAAAACTAATGAAATCAGTAGTCGATTAAATGACATTTAAGTGAAGGTTGAAATGAACAGAAAGCTGGCCAAATTGGCCGACAAGATTCAATCAAAAATGAAGCCCACATTTGAGCCATTTAAAGAGCAAAACTTTCACTTGAAAACACGCTTCACAAAAGGCTAACTATCCAAGTGAACAGACAGGTAGATAAAAAACGGTGAGAAGGTTTAGAGAGAAGAAAATCTCTTTTTTCAATAACACAATTCTCACAGTTTTAGTATAAAAATATTTCTCTTTACCTTATTTTTACCTTCATCCATTTGCGCCAAACTTGACCATAAAAATTGTTTGATTCAGTTTGAACCATTCATGATAAACTCTATGAGACTGAAGAAGAAGAAAAAAAAATGATGGCTTTTTTCACGCACTTCAACTGACTGTTGAACCATTTTCCGCTTTTCTTTACAAACTAACCTTTATAATGTACCAAAGATTACATTAGCCAAAGGTTAACAAAAGGTAAATCTTATTGGATCAGAAAAGGTGCAAAAAGCTGAAGATTAAAGGAGAAGAGAAGAAGAGGAAAAAACGATAAAATGAAGCAACAAGGAGCAAAAAGATTGTCCAAATTGCACACAAAAACATTGAAAGTAAACTGGAAATTTTGAAAGAGCAAAATCGCTTTGAAAAAAGTTCTAAACTTTTCGCTTCGCTTTCTTGCCATTTTTTCACTTCACTAATCATTTATATTCAACAATCTGAATCTCGATTCCATCATCATTTTTTTCACTTTTGCATTCTATTTAACTGTTGATGAGTTAATCATGATAATTGGATTTGAGTTTTGCCAACAAAACCAGTTTAACTTCTACTTCGGCGTAATAACAAAGCAAACATTTCCTTGCAATTGAAAACAATTAGTTTATCATTTGATTATTTTGGGTCAATTTGTTGTTGTTGTATGAAACATTTATCAATGAAGTTTCATTGAAATGGTGAAAATTGAAATGGAAAACGTTTTGATTTAAAGCAAAGTAATTTGATGAAATGAAGCAGTCAATTACATTTGATGGTGTTAATATTGAAACAGCTTTATTGAGAAGAAGCTTGAATGGGTAAAAGTAAATGTTTCAAATTCTTGTGATCATTTCAATTCCATACAATTTACAGTTTGCTTCTTCCATCAATAAAAGAGTCACAACATGTAAAACATCATTTATCAAAAGGAGAAGCAAAAAAACTGAGAAAATGTAAATTTTTTTTGCTTCCATCAAATATTCATCTTTACAACATTATTGATATTTTCATTAGTCGACTCATTTTAATAATCAATGAACGGCTCAACAATAGACGAAAATTAATGGCCAAACAAGTTTACCTGGAAAATCGAGTTAACAGTTTAATTGCATTTGATTAGTTCAATTGGAAGCGAAGCAGATTGAGTAAAGTGTAAAATTGTGAATATCATTTTCCCTTTTCTCGATCCGAATCTTGAGTCAACATTAATATTGTAATTCAATATTGATCAAACTCGTGGACCTTTCATCTTGCTAATCTTTTTTTTCGCACTTTTCACTCCCTTTTGATCATAATTTTCATCTTGCTTGCTGTTGATACAATGATTCTATCATCATGATGATATTGCATGAAAGCATCATTCCCTTTATCATCATCTTTCACTCTTCGTCTTTTCTCTCCTTTCTTCTTTCATTTCGCCATTCTCCAAATTCCTAACATTATTTCATCGCCATTTCAACCTGAATAATCTGTCTACATTTATGTTTCCTTTGCTCAGGCTGTTAGCAATATGTTAATGGAATAAAATTAACGACACAAACACACATACTCACTATGCTGGTAGAGCTTAGGGAATATCAAGTAAGAGGATGAAAAGGGATGAAGAGAATTACACAAAAAAAATGAGAAGAAAAGAGAAGATGAGAATTCATGATTGAGAAGAGAAACTGAGCAAGATGATGAAAGGTCTAAAATAATCATGAATGTCATACAGTTTTTGCTACCTTCATTTATAACCTGTCTTATGGGATTGAGACGATTCTCATCTTTTCCAATAGCAAATGAGTTTACTTTGAAACAAGGCAACAGCAACTCCATGAACATGAACAAACGTAATTTGAATATTGGTCATGCTTGAGATAAACTTTTAATAGTTGAACATCCGGTGTCAAAAAAGAGTCCATTCAGGTTCAACTCTCAATCTTCCAACTCACCCACCTTGTCATCATTTGTTCATCATTAAGAGACCATCGAGTTTCGTCTTTACCCTTTTCGATATGAAGCTGCCAAGAAACGGCACTTTCTCCGCTTGATTGTCATCATATCACGGGAAAGTGCCAGGTTAAAGGTAAACAATGGTTCGCCATTCAACTGATAGTTTAGCCCATTGTTTTATTGGATTATATTGAATACAATTTATTACCAGTTTTCATTCTGCTTTTTTTTCTCGCTTCTTTCCTATCACTTTTCCAATGCAACTTTCAATGGGCAAATAATGTTGATAATTTTATATTCAAGTGAATAATCAATAGTCAATGTGTTGTTGCCGTTTTTTTCACTCACTCTCTTTCTGTTTGCATTTGCCATTTTTGTTTGGTTAAGTTGATGTTTATGCTGCTGTTGCTCCTTACATAATAATGTTAAAAAGATGAAGAGTGAGTGAGTGAAAGATGAAAAAAACTTGATGGTGAGTTAAATTGAAGAGGAGGAAAAATGAGTTGAAGAGTAAGTACAGTAAGTGAATGAGCAAAAGCACAAAAAAAAGTAAAAGAGGAATGATGATGATCGATGAAGCAAGGTGATGAATGACCACATTCCTGTATGATCTTGTCCACTCTTGTAGACCCTTTTTACACTTTAATCATTTTACACAACTGGTTACGTATCAGCAAATACGTTTACTCGAGATTCTTGTTTTCACTTTTTTTAATTCTTTTGCAAGCTTTTTGTTTATCGTAAATTTCAACCCAACAGTCAACCTAAAGCATAACCTAGAAGTAGCTCTTCTTAGGACAACTTTTTACCAACACTTGGCTTGACTTCGACTAAACATGATTTCTACTTTTCTTTCATTCTTAGACCGTTTTTAAGAGTCTAATAAACTTTAATCAATTTATTGTTATTACAATTAGTAATTGATTTAATTATTGCAATAATTTTCTTCTTTTCTTTAAATCTTCTAATCTTGGATTCGATACTTTTGTTGAACCAATTGTTGGGTGAAGCTGTGTAAAGGGCAACTCTTAAAATGATTGGAACCGGAACTCTTGAATGAAAAAAACCATAATTTGATTGGCATGGGGAGGAATCAATATTATGAGCTAAACTAGGAGAGATAAAAAAGCGGTTGAAAAAATGAACAGCAGAAAAAAAGGTGTCACCAGGGCCAAAGAACTTATATCACTTTTTGCACACTTTTTTTGTTTCTTTTTCTTGCAGATATATTCAGCTGATTCGTGTTCATCATGTTTTATTGTGATGACTTCAAAGAAAAGTATTGATCTTAAATCGTTTTATAATTATTTCATGTTTTCCGAAGCATTTAAACAATTGAAGGTTAGAAGATATTTTTTGCACAAAATTCATGTCCAACTCAATGAAACTCGTGTCAATTAAATGTCACTTATTAAAAGATTTGCAGCAACAAAAAGTTATCCAACTCGAATTGAATGAAAAATTGTTATTCAAAAGTGAGAAAAGCTAAAGATAAAAATAGAGAAAAAAAATAAACGCAATTTAATGGTTTCATCAAAATTGAAATGAAAGACTTGAAAAAATGAAAAAAATTCAACGAATATCAATTTCTGGTGAACAAAAAATTTTAGCGAATAATTTCCAACTCGAAATAACTTGAAATCTTGAACTGAAATCAAAACAATCGGAAAAAATTTCGAATCGAAAAATCGCTAAATTTTCTTGCAAATTTTACGATAGAATCCGATTTTTACGATTGAACTAAACAATTCCTTCTTACCTTATCATGTTGAATGGAAAGTAAGAAATGATAAACACTGAAATGTGATTTTCCATTTGAAACAAAAGAGAATGAAAAAGTGAGCAAAGAAAGTAAAATGTTTTGAACAGTATGTTGATGGTTCAAGGTAAACTTGTTTACAGGTAAAATGATTTAGAATGAAAAAGTTTCAATATTTGACATATCACATGTTGTTGACACGTTACAACGTTAATCATGTTTAATAAAGATGAAAAAAGTATTTTTTCTCATGTTAAGTCGATAATAATGACGGCAAGCAAAAAAGAGATTGAAAACATTTTCTTCTTCAATCACTTTGATTTTTTGTTCACTTTTCTTGCTCACATTACAATATTGAACATGATCTTAAAAGAGACAAAATCATTTTTTCCTCTCTTCTTTATCATCATTTTCATCATTCATTCTTCTCACCTGTTTACCAAGCTTGTTGGCAGAAGCGAGAGAGAGAGAGAGAAGAGAAGAGAAAAAAAGAGAAACTCAAATTTTGCTTCATTCTTTCACCAATGAATATCATGTTGATAAATCAACTGACAGTAAGCATATACAGTATAATATGCTCTATCATTTCAGGCTACTTTTACTGTTTATGTTATTACTATTGTTGAAATGCTCTGCAGGGAATTTATTTACCCTGACAATGTATCTCTCTTCCTTCATCATCTCTCATTTTCATCCACAATTCTTATCGTATGTTTATGAGAGTTTAACATTGTTTTTTATCTTTGCTTTTTGCTTTTCTCACTCTGTTCATTGTTTCCATGAAATGTTTCCAATTTCATAGCAAACTTTTTTTCCCTCTTCCAAACATTCACTTATCACATTTACCTTGACAACAAATTGAGGTGAGCTCAAGTAATTATCACTATTGTCACCTTTGATTCTAATCTTGATTTAGATTGTATTTTCTGATTGGAATGGAATTCAAATGAATCAAATATTGATTGTGTTATCAGATTAGTTTGGATTCACGATTTTTTCTTGGAACGTCATTTTATAATTTTAAGGGCTTCACAGAATTTCATAGTTGGATTGAAATGAATAACCGTAATTGGGTGAAAAATGAAGACAACTTTTGATTAGTAAATCAGTTGACGTGGTGATGCAGGTGCGGGTGTTGGGAGATAATTTTTTAACCTTTGATAATTTCAATTGTTCAACTCAACATTTACCCGGAATCACAAATGCACCATTTCAGGTACATTTTGATGCGAGTTCTACTGCACGTAACACTGATATCATAGACACCCATAAAAAGAGTTTTCTATGAGAAGAAAAAAAGGTTGAAATGGTCTTTTAGATCGAATGGTCAAATATTGAAGTACTTTTTCCTCGATGAAGATCAGCTATCAAGATGAGACTGTGATTCGATCCCATCATGGATCAAGTTTGCAATAATTCTTTTGCTCTTTTCAGTCAAAATTTTGACCATTTTTCGAGAATCCTGTCAGGGACAGTTAATGAGTTGACAATATTCAAGTGTTTTCTGTTTAAACTGATTCTGTGATTAATGATAATGGGATTGTAACCGAGCTGTGACGAACTCGTCTCCACTAGTAAACATCAAGTCGTTTACTTGCCTCATTATTCACCATTTGCCAACCCTATTGTAAACATGTTTAATCAATTAAAATATAATGTTCAACGCTTCAAAGCTAAACTTGTCTCTGAAATTTGCATCGAAATAGAAGCAACAACAGATTGTATGGATTCCGAGAACTGCTCAAGTTGTTATAAAGTATATTTCACCTTTTATTCGTGGAATGTCAAAATTGAGCTTAAATAAGATTTTCATGTGACTTTAATTATAAACGTTTCTTTCATTAAACCTTGGATCAGCTTGATCAGTTTAACTGTCAACTTTTCTGGTAAAAACAATTTTTTTCTTTCGGCAAAAAGTGGTCGACATGGTCAGTCAAGGATTGAACAGAATCAATGCAATCTAATCAGATGGCTCTGTAATCTCTGAAAATATTCAAACATTTCAATATTGTACAAAAAGTGTTTTGATAAAGATACTTTCTCAAAGCTAACACGAGAGTAATACCAACTGGCAAAGAAGTAGATAAATGTATTTATGTTTTTTATTTGCCTTTTTGATGATCGCGAAAGTCTCATTTACTGGAATGAAAAAAAGTTTAAATTAATGTTCATCACCGGATTATTCAGTATTGAACTATTCACTCGATTTTGACCAGAAAATGATTGAAAAATCACATCCATTCAACTGGTGACAACAAAGATGATTAAAGCTTTGGTTCTGAATTTCATTTCTTTTGAATAAACCAGACACAGCAAAAGTAAATAAATGTGAAGTAAATGTTGGAAAATGATAAAAGCAACTTTTTAATTGAGTAAAAACAATGTACAGTTTAATTTTGAGGTGAGGTTAGTTGAGGTTTACTAACTTCTTGGACCACATTCATTAGTTTTAAAAGAAGTTAAAATTTCATTACAAGTGTTCACGGTAAATCATAACCTTCTTACTTTGCTCACTCATAATATTAATAAAGCTTCATGATATTTCGGGGAATCATTAGAAAAACAATAAACTTTAAAATGCACTTGAAAATTGAACGAGTCATTTGAAGACATGAAACCACCGAATAACATTGCATTTAAAAATGCTGATCGATTTCGAGTTTATCGTAATCGATTAAATTGCAAAATTGCTCGAAATTAAAATTGAATAGAAAATGAATTTTCAATAAATACAAGTCAAGGTCTGGTTTGAAATGATGATGAATAGGAACCAGGAATAAGCACGTAAAACTTTTTCTTTCAATTTCTCAAGAACTCTTTTGATTTAGTTAAATCAATATTCTGAAACAAAATTTCAAAATCTTTTCACAAAATTCATTAAAGTCAATTTCTTATGGAAATTTATCACCTTTTATTCAACATTTTGCAACTCTTGTGATATTGTGATAAAATAAGAGTTAATAATGCGTGAGTTGATTCGATTTTCAGAGTCAAGTGTTATATTAAATAAAATTAAAGGTTAATATCAAGTTAATATAATATGAGTTGTACAATTTAGCACTAATTAACACATTTGCTTTTGTGATACTTGAAGAACTGAATGTGCGAGATATTTTTGCATCACATTTTTGTAACCCTTTTGACATCAGAACCTTTTTATCGATATATTTATAAGTTGAGGTTATGCTCTTATCAAGGCGAGACTTTTGAGATCAGAAAAAATAGAAAATCATTTTTGCCCAAACAAATGATGTTTGATGAACGACTTTGATTCTTCCGAAATTATGTATTCATGAGAAAATTGTTTTTTTTTGCAAAAAATTATTAAAAATAAATGTTAGTCTCATCATCTAATGATAGTTTATTTGAAGTTAATCAAGAATGTGATTTGATGTTGTTTTATCAATTTAGATTAGGATAATGGTCAAGGTGTTGAGCTATTTAAAGTAAAACAATCAATCAATTTGCTAATAACTGAGCACGATTTTTGAAGGTAAAAGTTTTGTCTTTTATTTGATTAGCTTCAATATCGGTATAATAATGATTATGAAAAGGCCAAACAGTTGCTATAAATATTTAAACATTTTCACCTTTTCTTGTTCATCTTTTTTGTTAACCATTCATTTTATATTCTGATCACATTGCTTTACTTGGAAGGAGAACCTTTTAGGTTAAAGATTGAAGCAAGAAAAAGATGAAGTTAAAGGTAACTTGAGATATTTCATGGTAAATAGCAGTTGATAATTGATGGTTGAGGCGAAGGTTGACACTGATAAAAGTGGTAATCAAGGTGTGACTCCAAGTTTACGTTATAAGATATCAAGTTTTCGATCCAATGAAATTCATCATTTTTTGCCTCAAAGTTTATGCGTTTGAATCAAAGTTGATAAAATTTTACTCAAAATTTAATCAACTCATTTGGCATTTTTCATCATTACTGCAACATAAATGATCATTAAACAATATTGATCGCTCAAGTTGATTTGACTGCTTCAATTTGACTCAAAGTTTGCTCATCAAATGTTTTTTCGGGCTGTAAAGGCAATTTTAACAAGATATTGTTTAGATCGACCGATAAAAGGACAACTGCTCCAATGGTAAAAGCTAAGTGCAGCTTAAGTTTTAGGAGCAAATTTTAAGAAAAGTTTTCAAGAATTTGAAGGAATACTTAAAAACGAATTGACTAATTGATTATTGATTTTTGGCGTGATTTTGGCTTTGATTAACAATTAGAGTTTGGAAAAAATTGGGTCGAATTGGATTAAAGAGTGAAATTTTAGTTTCTAAAGTTTTTTAAATTTCCTGCAATTCTGTACATTCTAATGCGATAATGGAGTTTAAAGTCTGACGAATTCATTATTCTGCATTTTGTTAAAGTTCATGCAATTAATGCAATAAAACAGTTGAACGAAAATAGCAAATGAACTGCTCAATAGATTTCTCAGATTTCTCAGACTCTTGTCTTCGAGTTGAAAAAAATTTGCCGGAAAATTTTAGGTGAAAGCGAAAGAAGAGATGAAAACTGCAGCAAAGTTGAATGATTGCTAGATGATGTTATCAGAAGAAGAAAAAGTCTTGAAAATATGAAGATGAAGAGATTGAATTATATTGACTGGGATAAAGTGAGCAGTTGAAAGACACAAAAATGGTGAAAATTTAAGCACTTAATTGTGTCAAAGTAGCACAGTTGGTAAAAGTATTGCAAGGGAAAAAAGGGTCATTTTATTATAGTTTTATAGTTGAAATCATGTAAGACTGTGAAATAGATGAAAAGAGATGAGATGGGATGAAAAGGGATAAATGAAAGGGATTTGTGTGAATTTGCTTGCAACAAGAAGAGAAAAGAATGAAAATAAAAGCAGAAAGAAGAAGAAAAAAAATTCTCGATAAAAGGTAAACTTTAAAGTTCATTTTCTATGAGAAAGAAGAGTAATGTTGCCATTTAAATATTTGATATAAAAAAAGGTGAAAATGGTTATCAAAGTTTAAAGTGAATGAATGGGAAAAGTTGACCAAAAACTGGAATCCAAAAGATTACCATATTCAATGTAACGGGACGATGAAAACATTCATTTCGGGTGGTCTCGAGTGCTTCACAAAAGTTATCATTTTTTACCTTCAATGACAGTTTCCATTATAATGGCTTTTCTCTCTCTCTTCATCCCTGCATCTTCATCATCATCTTTTCTTTACCAAACGGAGCAGTTTCTCCAGTTGATCGATGCGTTCATTAAAACCCATTTTTACTGTGAAAACAGATGGCACCAAGTAGCATCAACTTGCGCATCCTCATCTTCTTGATTCACCAAATTATTAGTCTCTTGATGTTAACCTTTCAGCCCACCCTCACTGTCGCTCATCAATAGTACTTTACTGTCATCCTTTTTTGGTCGAGCAAAAACTCTCAACTCGCTTCGTCGAAAAATCATTGTGATCCAATTTAAAGGTTCCTTGGACAATTCAATGAAAGAGTCGAAAAGAACGGGAAAACATCAATTGAATTAAAAGGTCTCCAAAGATTTAAATATAATGTTGTATGAACACAATGTATGGATGACAACAAAACCAATAACATTGCTTGTTGTAAGAAAACTTTTACTTGATTCACTTATTTTTTTTGGCCTGAAAGATAAAGATTTTTCTCTCTTCATTTTAAGCTCAAGGAATTTCAAGCATCTTTAATGCTCAATTATTGTTGCTATGAAAAGCGATTCTCCTTTGCGTGGTCGACAAAAAACGACCTTAGTGAATGTTGCATAGAGAAAAGGTCAACATATGAATGACATTCTCGTTACTGTCGCTATCAAGTTTACTCGAAATTGCTCAATCTATTATGACCAGTCCATTGAATTCGGGTCAAGTTGCATTTCTCAAGTTTTGTCCAAAAAGTAGTTTCTCTCTTTATCTTTTCACGAGAATT